TCCTCATCTTCCTCCTCCTCATCTTCCTCCTCCTCTTCTTCTGACACAGAATCACACTCCTCACTGCTGTCTTCCTCTTCTTCCTCCTCAGAATCATGTGTGTCATTTAGCTCATTCTCTTCCTCACCACTGGAGCTGGATGTTTCCTCACTCTCCCCCTCCTCAGTCTCACTCTCTGTGTCACTACCTTCTTCTTCGTCTTCTTCATCATCGTCTTCTTCTTTGTCATCTTCTTCCTCTTCTTCTTCGTCCTCTTCCATATCACTTTGTTCTCCTCCATCCTCACTCTCCTTCCTCTTGTCCATGTCAGGATTTGTCTTTTTTTTTTTTTTTTCTCTTTTTTTGAGGTCTTGGACTTTTTCTTTTCTTCATCTTTCCTTTCTTTGGGGTCTTCCCATTCCATTTGTGGAGAAGAGTACAGGTCTTTTCCTCTGTAATGCCCTTGTCTCCAGTATTTTGAAGCTGACTGATCACGGCCCATCTCATGGTTTTCATTTTCTTGAACTTTAACCATATTCTCTGACAGAACACGTACTCGAGCGTGTTCTCTGGGGTTGTCACGGACTCGTAGATTCGGATGACTCAAATGTTCGGTCAAAGATGATAACAAAGTGTTGTGAGTGAGCAGCTTCCCTTGTCTTGTTGCTTTGGTCGGAGTGAGTATAGCTGTGTCGACGCGTGTCTGGAAAACATGGAATCTTGTCACTGCCTCACTGAAGACCTCCATGGCAGTGACTGTTCCTTGATAAGGATCAGTCTGAGAACCTTGATTCCACCTGTTATACTTAGCTCCTCCTTTCCTCTCCTCTGTAAATTAAGCAGCTCTGGATCAGCAGGATTGGTGCCCAGTAGGAATCTGGCACAGCTAATAACTTTACTCCTGTTCTCTCAGGGCTTTGTGAGGAAATGAGGTGACTCAGCACTCCACAGGTGTTTCCCGTTCAGCTTAATTAAAGCACAGCTCGCCTTCAGGGATATCTTTAAGTTGAAATTAGTTTAATTAAAAAAAAATGTATATCACATCTGACAATGCCTTTAAATCCTTTGATCTCTTTTTATCAGTTGACTTCTTATCTGCAGATTTTAATGTAATGTTCAGAGCCTGAGCTGGAGGAAGAGTGACACTGATACTGACACATCAAAGGAGCCAGTACTTGAACTTAAATAATAGATTACTCAGAACTGTGTTTTTTGAAGTACGAAAACCTATTAATTTCATTCTCATAATTCAGACATTTGGGCTTTTGGGTTTTCCACAACCACTGTATTTAGAAAATATTTCTATGGTAACTCCAAGAATCTCATTGGACATGTGCTCATGGTGGGCACAAATCACAAGTCAGTCATCAACAGTTCTGCCATCGCACTCGCACACAGATGTGGGTGGGAGAAGAAAACCATGGTGATGACGAAGAAAGTAAAAAAAGTCATTGTGATAAACAGATGGTGGTTAACGTAGGGGTCAGGGAGACGCTGTTCCATCACTCACAGCAGCCTTTCTCGCATCACAGCTAACTAATTAGAGCCGTTATTAGCATCTCGCTGGAATATTCTTCACTCACGTCAGACTTTTACAGACCACACACACAGAGATACAAAGAAAAAAGGACTTGTGTCCTTCTTGGCGAGGCTCAGCACTTAAAAGGAGCCTCGTCTCTGCATGTCAGAAACATCGACCTTGAAAATAAAGAGCTTTGGTAAAACAAAAAAGTAAAAAATAAAATATAAAATAAATAAATAAAATAAATACTGTGTGATACCTGTTCAGCAACACAACACACACAGGAGACAGAGGCAGTTAGATAGCCAAAAGACCACCGTCATCATTCTGTAGACTTTGATGTGTGTTTACAGTCAGTACCGAATGCTGAAGATCTGTGGAGTTGTCAAGTGTGTGACAATTTGACTCTTCTGGCCATTTTGAGCTTTTTATAGCTGCTGCTCTTGTGGAAATAGCCTGTGGTGGTTTGCCATGTGTGTGTGAGACAAAGACTTCTTCATTCATTTCCAACAGTTCGAGCTGACCGAGCTGACCTTGGATTAAAAAGCATGAAGGACATGAAGGATTCATCACCGAGCACATACAGAAACAGCACTATCTATTCAGAGTCACTTTCCATTCAGCTGTTAACCAGCTAGCTCAGGTGTGGAAACTGACTCACCACTGCCACACTTGGTCCTAAAATTTGACAAGGGGGGTTTGGGTCAGGAGCAGATAGACGAAGATAAAATGACATGAAGATAAATGACATGTAAGAATCATGCATAAAGGCTAACATGCTAAAATGCTTTTAGCCTTTTCTACGCCATTTAATGGGGGAATGCAGGGAAAAGGCAGAAATATAATGATAATATAAATAAATAATATAATTTGGACAGGTTTGGTGGGCCAGATTTAAAAGCCAAACGAGCCACATCCAGCCCCCGGGCCATAATTTGCCCATACCTAAGCTAGCTATTTTGTTCATTTGCTTATTCTATTTTCTCACCTTCTTTCTGTCTCTAATAATTCTTTCCTCAACAGCCAGGACATGAATATGAATCTACGACATGTGGTACTTCAGCACTTCATGGCACAAGCCACAAACTCACTCCCAAAAACTAGCTGTAGCTGACAAGGGAAGCTAAGGGAAACTAATTGTCACCAAGTTGGTGGCATATTATTATATTCATCTATCCATCTTATCTATCTATCTGTCTGTTTGTCTTCCTTTTTCCCATATTTTGGGTCACTACTACAGCTCCAGTCAGGACATGAATGGGTTACTCTGCACCACATGTTACTCTATGACACATTACGACGCAGGAGACTTCACAGCTTGCTTCACTGCTGGCAGTGGAAACACTGATGAGATGTGGTAAAAGTTTCTGCCAACTTCTTCAATACTGTGTGTGTGAGTGTGTGTGTGTGTATGTGTGAACTGATCTGTGTATTAGCAGAATTACTCATTCCTGTCTTTGGAGCGACGTTCTTGAGAGGCTAAAGCACACACACACACACAAATACACACAAACAGTATGTATGCTGAGCTATGCATATTTCCTGGAAAACTTGGACATCGCTGCTTCCTGCCTTGGGGTGAATATAATGAAGACCACAGAGAAGAAGAGGCGACGACTACAGAGAGGAGTACTTCATTCCTCAGCCTTTGCTAAGTCGAACCACAGCAGAGATTAGATTTAAAGAATCAGTTTGTACTCATATCGTCTGAGAGAAAATCTGACTCCCATAAGTATTGACCTTTTAGTTCTAAACACTTTATCCTTCTGCCAGATGAGACAAGTTAGAACAGAAAATTGCAGCAGAGCACAAACTTGGATTTGATTTTTCTGAAGACCTTCAGGATAAGCTGTATCAAGGCACAACAATTAGCTGAAAAGATGTGAGAATGGAGTAGTTTGTATTTTATTCTAACTCAAAAGGATATTTGTGAATACACCAAGAAGCCGTCTGAGTCATGGTTTACATGAAGGGTAGTTGGTATTGGGGTCACAGGAAAAGGCTGTTGGTTACATAACTGGAGAAACATTTCCTTCTGCCTATGCATAGACCTAAATAATATGTTTATTTCTAACTGGTAGTCCATGTTTCTTAGTCGTCAATACCACATTTTGTTGAGAAAATTCAAGTTTCTTGTTCTACCAGTACCATCAGTTGTTTGTTGTTGTTGACTTCATATTAAATTCCATATTCGCTTTTTTAAACTTAAGCCACAAAATAACTTGATTAAACTTGTTGATTACAACAAGCGATGATAATAATGTAAAATCATTCAAATCATCTATGGACTGCGGCGTGAAAAAGTGAGCAGTTTACCAAACTTTCCTGATGGTAAAGACTTTTTAGAACTTGACACTGTTCTGAGGAAATATTTTATGTTTACTTATAGACCTAGGTGACAGCGGGGAGAAGGAAACGTCCTCATATTTAGACATAGAGGAGGTGGTTCTGGAAAATTTATTCTGAAGCGTCTGTGATAGAAGAATGTGGGTTTGATGCCTTGAGGCAGAGTTTCTCAGTTGTGGAACAAGTATGGGTAAAAGAGTGGGTTAAAATCGTCTATTAAGGACCAGGTGTTATTATGACTCAAAAATAGTTTCCCAAATACTTTGTGTCGTAAGTGATCACTATTTGTACCATTTGAAACTCATTTAATTCCACTTAAATTATGATTTATTGACTGAAAATAAATACCTTCAAATGTCTTTGCAATAATGACAGGCAGCACAATGAAATATTCTTCCACTAGGGGGAAGCAGATGACTGAAATTGTCATAATTGTAATTAACTGTTAGCTAAAAGCTGACAAAAGGCTTCAGTGGTTTTATTTATTTTGTATTTTATTTAACCGGGTATATTAGACACTGGAGGGGTCTTTTAATAAGAAGTTTACTGAAAGCTAGGAAAAAGCAAAATAAATAAATTGCTGCGTTGAATATTTGGTTCACGGTAATAGAGCTTCCCCAAGCGGTCAGCAAATACAATTACAGCACAGGCACATTGTATTGGAGCACTGCTTCCTACTGACGTTAAAGAATGACGACTACAGTATGTCCTGAATTTGTAGGAATGCCCTGTAATTATTAATGAAAAAGTCAATTTCGGAAATGTAAAATATTTTTTGATTATATAAAATTGTTCATAGAGCCAGAAAAATGAGTGATTTTAGACATTTTGAAAGGGGGAAGTAAATGATAGAAGTCCACTATAATATATATTTACGTAAGTACGTAAGTTTTATAACTAAATGAAAAAACAACATTTATAACCAACACAAAGTAAATAAACAAATACCAGTTAAATACTTAACTAACGTTTAAATGTTACCTTTTAAATCTAAATAAATAAATAAATACATTAACAGTGACTTCAAGTACAAGTTTTGGCAAAATATATTTTTTTTAATGTTTCTGAAAAAAGATTTCAAGTTTACGGTGTTAGCTCTAGGCCCCGCCTACGCCTTCGTCACGCGCTGATGAAACTGGCGGCTTGCTGTTGATTGGCTGTTGATTTCTGCTGCATGTTGTTGGCAGTACTGTATTAACATGAAATACTGCGTATTTCTAATGAAAGAGTGACTCAAACGCCATTTATACGCTTCGGGATTTTGACTGACAACCAGCGATGTCTGCTAAGGTTTTATCTGCAAGCACTCGAACTCTGAGGAGTTTAAAAACTCTACAGAACTTTTCTGCACGAACTATAAGGCGAGAAAGTTGGCTTTGTATTAACTGCGTTTGAGTTTTTAATTATTGCACGCATGTATTTATTTTTGTTTTTGCGCAGCTCTGGGGACGTGAATTTAAAGGGTCGCAGTTTCCTCACACTGAAGGACTTTAATTCAGAAGAGATCAAGAGGCTGTTGTGGGTCTCAGGAGACCTCAAACACAGGATCAAGACTGAGAAAACGGTACACAACATTACACTGTTATCATATTTTATTTTACAGCTCACATAGTGTGTGTAGGTCTCTTAAGTCAAATTTAAAAAGCCCTTCTATTTCAGTACCTTCCTCTTCTGCAAGGGAAGTCCATTGCAATGATATTTGAGAAGAGGAGCACCAGAACAAGAATGTCCACAGAAACAGGTGTGAGATGTGTTTGAGCTTAGCTGCTTTTCTCCCAAATATATCTGAGAATGAAAGGACTGGGAAACGTGGCATGTGTATCTTTTGGATGTGACAGATGGGTGTGTGTTCCCACTGCCAGGATCTGGCTGCCAGGAAGGCTGTGCTCTTATTTTGACTTCGGCTGATGCAATGCAGGGCTGTATCTGAGTGCCAAGATTAGAGGGGTAAATAAGAAGTTGTAACACCTCTTCCTGCACTGCAGGTGGTGTTACCGATTATATGTACAATGCCGTAGTCCTGAGTTAAGTACACTGGTACAGTTTAGTCCTTATAAATACAATACTTTCCCCTACAAGAACAACTAACACTGCGTCCAGAGAATAGAAGACACGCAGCAGGGACTGACATGACTGACAGCTGCCCGACTAAAAATACTGCACATGTGGCTGTTCTGCAGGGCTGTACAGCTACAACAACAGTGTGCCAAAATGTCAGTTAACACCACATTAAGACTAGACTAGACCAACATAGACTGGAATAGTAACAGACTTCTGCAATACAACAATTGCATGTTTTCTATCTAATGTGATGCTACTGCTCCATCCATTATTTTTGCCTCTAGATTCAATAGGAAGCTCCGGGTCTGTTTAGATAAGAGGATCCATGAACCCTAGGGGATCTACAGAAGAACTGTGAAACATTTACTTTACAAAACAGTATACTGTATATGGCTCATCTATATATTCTACAGAGGGCAAATGTATGAATGAGAAAACACAGGCAGAAGGCAGCATCCCTGCAGATGAGAACACTACTAAAAGGCTCCATCTTTAGTGGCTAAGAGGATTTCTTTTGTAAGGATGTCTGTGTTCTGAGAAAATCTCTTTTCATACTAAACTTTTAACTTTCTACTCTGATATCAGCTGTGTAGTTTCAACAAAGCCATTGTTAATGTAGCACAAAAGAAGTGCTGAGAGGCCACTTTTACTGTGATCCTGTAACAAAAGCACCAAAGCAGTGTGAAAACAGAGCTCTCTGAACACACACACACACACGACACTGCAGCGGACGAGTGTTATTTAAAACCACGACTTCTCTTGTAGTTGAGCTAAAGGTTTTTCATGTTTTATTTTTGCAGGGTTTGCTCTGCTGGGTGGTCATCCCTGTTTCCTCACCTCTCAGGATATTCACCTGGGAGTGAACGAGAGCAGCAGAGACACGGCCAGGTCAGACTTGTGTTGAGACATCACGTATAAATAAAGTATGTGGAAATGGCTCCAGTAGTCAGGTAATAAATACTACATTTGTCCACAGAGTTCTGTCTGGATTCTGTGATGTTGTTCTGGCTCGAGTGTACAGCCACTCCACACTGGAGGAGCTGCATAAAGACGCCTCCATCCCCATCATCAACGGTCTGTCAGACCTCTACCACCCCATACAGATCCTGGCCGACTATCTCACGTTACAAGTAATTGAATTCTTCCAATTTATTTCTTATAGGAAATTGTGGTACAGCCATGCAAGATAGATGGAGTCAATCAAAACAGGGGCAATAGAAAATCGATAAGCAATACATTACGACAATTTAGAAGAAAAAAATGTGTAACGCTGGTTTGATTGACAGTTGATGGATGCCTGCTGATGGTCGAAAAGAGCATCTCACAGCATTTCTTTGAAAGTACACTCTATATCAGGTGTGGGCAAACTTTGTGACTCACGGGCCACAGATGTCGTAAAATTGAACAGGGGGTTCGGGTCAGGAGCAGGTAGAGGGAGCGTTTGTATGAACTAAGATAAATGGCATGTAAAAATCATGCATAAAGGCTAAAATGGTTTTAGCATTTTAGCGCCATCTATTGGGAAAACGTTGGTATTGCAGGGAAACGGCAGAAGTATAGTAAATAAATTATATAATATGGGAAAGTTTGGCAGGCTGGATTAAAAAGCTGAACGGGCCACATCGGGCCCCCAGGCCTTAGTTTTATATAGTATATAACACATCGCCAGTCTCTTTGTGTTCATACTACTACAACTCTCCTGCAGGAACATTATGGGTCACTCAGTGGATTAACGTTAAGCTGGATTGGAGATGGCAACAACGTCCTTCACTCCTTCATGATGTCTGCTGCCAAACTGGGAGTTCATCTCAAGATTGCGACACCAAAGGTTTGCATTCCGTGAAATATATTATGAGATTTAACTGAAATAAGATCTAAAACCTTCAACAACAGGGTTACGAGCCAGAGAAGAGTGTGATCCAGGAGGCACGGAGACTCTCCAAGGAGGTGAGCGATCTCTCCTTCTTTGTGATGTCTTTGCTATTGACAAATGTCGACGACGAATGTTTGATTTTTTTTTTTCACAGCATGGTACCGAGCTCCTTCTCACCTCTGACCCCATGGAGGCAGCACACAGCAGCAATGTTCTGGTCACTGACACGTGGGTCAGCATGGGTCAGGAAGAGGAGAAGAAGAGCAGGCTTCAAGACTTTAAAGGTTATCAGATTACAATGCAGGTACCGGAAAATTCTATATGGATATTCTGTTTAGTATAGATACTCTTCAAAATTAAATAGAATAGTTGCTGTTTTAGACATAATTTACAACTTTGTCTACAACGTAGTTATTATTGATAACTGTTTAGCTAACATTTGATAACGGATGATATTATTGATAACTGTTTAGCTAACATTTAGCTACTTCTGGCTTTTGACAATCATTAAGTGATTTCTAAATATTTATTGGCAAACTTTTGACATTTTTGGATAATCTTCATTAATTAAGCTAATTCTACATATATTAGCTTAATGATATGATAAAAACAGAAACTCTAAATTGTCTAATTTGTAGTGGTTTTATTTTTCAGACAGGAAGTGTAGCCAACCCAGACTGGACATTTATGCACTGTCTGCCCCGTAAAACAGAGGAGGTGGATGATGAGGTCTTCTACTCTCCTCGCTCCCTCGTTTTCCCCGAGGCCGAGAATAGGAAGTGGACAATCATGGTGAGATGGAAAACTTGTATTACAGTGGTACTGAATATGTCATCGTGTAAACGGGTACTGAATCAGAACAACTGTGCTCTCTTTCAGGGTCTGGTGGTTTCTCTTCTTACAGATTACACACCACAAATCCCCATGCTGAAGTTTTAACTGGTATTTGTACCATATCTACTGTCTGTGCCGCGCACAATCCCAGTGACAAGAACCGTTAGAGGCACAGACTCCGGCACAGAGAAAACATTGAGGAAATGTTCATTTCAGCCATAATCAAAATAAGACAAATCTTCCTAATTGCATGCTGTGATATTTAAGTCTTAAGTTTCATCTATCCAGGTTTTTTGTCGCTTTCTAAACTGCTCATTCGCTTTGGACCAAACATCCAGGTTTTTATGTTCCATAAACACTAAGGATCACACTAAGGTCACACTGATCTCTAAATGGAACATTGGACTATCCTGACACAGACAGAAAAATAGTTGGTCTTTCTAATTCTGTGTTTGGGTAGAAAATCTGAAAACGTTCTCTACAGAGTTTAGTATGAAGAACATACATTTCTGTTGGTTTGTTAGGGTGACATGAGTGAGCCTGCCATGTGAACTAATTACATTTTTGAACTTGTAACAAAACATGTACAACTACCGACTTAATAAAAACATGTCTAAAAATTATACAATGTTCTGCTTTATTCAGACAAAAATGTGAGTCTAAATTGTTTATTTCGCTTTTAGATTAAAGGCATTATAATATCAATAATCACATATATCAAAGGTGTACAGTGCACCTAAGGGTCTTTGCTTTTATCTTTGTATGAGAAGAAATAAGGCTTTGTTGGAACGTTGGCATTTCCCTTTATCCTTTCTGTACAAGTATACACTTGACCCTTTTCTTCCCATGAAAGAAGAACCATAAAAAGGAGCTGGCCAAAAAAAAGCTATTGTGGACAGGCGACTAACTGCTATGAAGCAGCGGAGAAAGAAAAAAAGGAGGAAAATCTAAGATGGAGAAAATGGAGAGGATGGATGACCAATGATATTTTCCAAAGAATAATGGATGTTTAAATCTAAAAGACAGTCCTGCTTACTCGTGAGCTTGGCCACAATTACGATGTGTTGAGTAAAGAAATAAGCAGTCATGTAAGGTAGAAAACTGCACCTCTACTGATTAACCATTTAAAGGTACATATCTGTGTGAGAAGAAGTAGTCAGTAATGCAACACAAAGGATTCCAACTGCCAGACAACATCCAAGTCGACAAAGAAATGGAGGACGATAGTCTTAAAATATTTGACTGGACCAGCATTTTGGTGCCAAACCAAAACTGGTCTGATACCAAGGTCCCAGCCTTAGACTCTTCATCTGGCTGCTCCTCACCGGACACCTCACTGGCAACCCCCACTTTTACCACGCTTTTTGGCTCATGCTCACCATCCCTTTGCACTCCTAGTCCAGAGCTGCAGGTCGAAGCTCAGGAGAGCAGCGTTGCCGAGTCGCCTCTGCTTAGGATGAACACGCGAAAAATCATAGAATCTCCTCATCGTGCTTCAGCAAGCACCCCATTAAGACCAAGTGCTGGCCCCAAAAGGCCACAGTTGAAGGGTCCCAGGCCAAAGTGGGTCAAGAAAATCCAGGCCATCATGAAGCAACGTAACCAGCGTGGGAAAAAAGGCAAAGGACGCAGACATTTTAAGCAGCTGGAGTGTAACTCTCAGAGTAACTCTGTAGAGAGTAACTCTGTGGAGAGTACCCCAGTAGAGAATACCTCTCCAGCAGCCAAAAGCACATTTAGCACTTGATTTCACAACTTGTTTTCAAATTTGTCTGCGCTCATTTTTCTATTAAATTCATTTTATATTTATATATTTAAAGAAAGCATTTCTTGTGTTCCTTTTGTTTTCTCCTGAAACAAAGTTGAGCTCAAAGTCGTAATAATGTTCATTGGAGCCTGCAGCGTTGCTCATTGTTTCTTCTCAGCACTTCCAGCAAGTTCTGCATGGGGCAAATGAGAGAAACCACAGAAGTACACACAACAACTCCTGTCCTTTGATGACATCACGTATTGGAGCATCTGAATCCAAACTGAGGACAAAGAAGATCAAAGGACAACAGTGCACAAAGCCAAACGTTAACAAGGCCTCGTGGTCAACTGCTTAGCTAGATGGTGAGAAAATAGGCAAAGGGCTATAGGCAAATGAAAGCTCTGTGTTTCACGAGGACTGTGAAACACACAGGACTGTGATATCTAAACTGCTGTCGAAAAGATGGAGACCAGAGACGGCGGTAATGCAACATTGCAACAAATCTGTGGAAATGAGGCATGAGCTCAACAGCAAGAAAGTTGCCCCAACAGACCATTGTTCTACTTCAGTACCAAGAAAAAGGTCAAAACAAGACTCAAGTATATCATAGTAAATTAGCCAATGGAGGTCAACAGAATTTGATTGTATTATTTTTTTAAAGCCATGCCAGGCTTCTTTATGAAAAAGTGATCTAAAGCCATGGCCAAGCCAGGCTTCTTTATGAAAAAGTGATCTCCAAGTTTATATGATGATGTTCTTTTCAATAAGAGAAAGTGATGTTACTCACTGTAATTCATCACAAACCCAACTCTGGGACCTGCCTGGTCAGTTAGAACAAGTTTTGATTTAAAAAGAGTAAAAAGAAGCAAGTAAAATCTTCGTAAAAATGACCCTCCCCCCAAAAAAGGAAAATATTTTAAACAATATAAAAACAAGGATAATACAGGTTACTATTAAACTTAATAAGTAGCTTTATGATTTTTTTTTTTTTTAATTACATTTTAAATATTTTTGCAAATGTTTTGTTCAATTGGTTTGGTTAAGGTTTATTTAAAAAAAAAACTTTTAGTTCCAGACCAAACTTTAAAGTGCAATTATATACATAAAACAAGATGAAAAACCAAGAGAAATACTTTTTTAAACAATTCAATACTTGTCTCTACTGGATGACAATATTTACCAAGTGTGTATAATGTTTACATCTTGTGAGAATGTTTTCATTTTCTCTACTGTAAATAAAAAAGTATAAGGAAAAGAAAACCATGTTTTCATAATTTGTACTGTCAACAACAATGTGTTTATAACAAGCTCACAATTAGTTGTAACATAAAGAAAGCAGGCAAAACCCAAATGCAGCATGAGGGAGACAAGTACAAAATTTGCAAAACTCGCTGGCTTACGGGAAGGCAAGGTATGAACCACAAAGCATGAACAACTAGGTATGAAACCCACAAGGCATGAACATCATAGCATGAGAGCCAAACACTAAGCCTGGACACAGAACAATGACCCAAAAAAGACAGCGTGAGGGTGAGAGGTATGTAAACCCAGGCTACCAGGTGACACCAGTGAGAAGAACAACAGACACAGGTGTCTGTGATGACACTGATTAACTCTAAAACACACAGCAGGAGGGCAGGGTGACAGGCAGACTTTCACATTAGCACATTAGTAGTATAGTAGTATAGTATTATAGTAGTGGTATTAGTATTATACCAGGACAACAGTGTAAAATAACACTTTTAGCTAATGGACCAGTGATCAATGAATGTGGGCATCAGGGGTTTTTTGTGGTAATGTCATTTGCTATACCAAGTTGGCAAATATATGATCACAGCTCAATGACCAAAGGCCTGATTAAAAAATAATTTTAATAAATCATTTTAAAAAAGGAGACATTGCAAATATTTAACAAAAGATTGTTATGGTCAAAACATTTGTGCTGTAACCTATTTTATCTCAAATTTCAACACACACACATTAACATTTATTATTATTTCGATTTCGGGTTTAGGGCAATGTTTTTAACGTTTTCTGTGCTTTTACACGTTGTGCAAACAACCATTTAAGTGTTGACTGTGGGGGTGTGGCGGTCTATTATTTAAACACTATCACATAGTCGTAATATTTTTGGTTGATAACTATGCCTTAAACTCGTCCCGCCCGCGGCAGCTAACCCCGTACACATACAAGGGTTCCCTTAGTATTATCAAGCCACAGTAACGTCCACACGTTAATTCAGCTAAATAACGTCGTAAAAATTAAACTTTCATAAAAACTGACGAACTTCCAACGTCACCGTGTCAGAACCTTTTAAGCCAAAAACGAGGTTTAAAAAGCAGGAAACGGCAAGGATAATGCGACGACGGCAGCAAAGCAACATGACAAATGATAACTGATGTAAAACACATACAATAAACAAAAACTGGAAATGTTTCTGTAAACGAAACGAAACTGACAATCCCTTCCAACATGAACAATGTGAGGATTTTTTTGTTTATTCATTCATTTTGCGTTTGTATATTTTTTAGACTAATTAACCAACTGACATTTTTGAGGTTTAGTTTAAATCTAATTAATAATTCAATTTGATCTAATTTTGACAAAAGTTTGTAATTTTTTTCCCCCACAATTTTGACAAAATTGACTTTAAGAATCTTCGCTAACACATTAAGAATCTTCGGTTAAGAACCTTCACTTTAGCTCTTGCTAGCTGTTTTTTGGTATTACATAATTATTATTTTTATTTTTTTAACATTCATGCTATGAATATGTGTATCTTTAATACTACTTTTGTTTTTATCTACAGGACTTTTGGACCAGCGCCTTGGTGCCAAACCCCAACAAGACTGAGATTCCCAAACTTATCCTACGGAGAGTCCCAGCACCTGCTCCTGGCAGAGAATCTTCATCCTCCGCTTGTGTCCCTTCATCTCCCACAAGAACAGATGTTCAAACCACTCCACCACAAAATAAGGTGACAAAATACATAGAACAGCTGAAAATATGCTGCTGCATCACCATGGAAATAATATAAGCATACAGTAGTTGTTATTACTGTTAGTATTTGTTAATGTGTTTTAAAATAATAATTAAATATCAAAATAATTATGTAGCTAAATATAGTTGTCATCAGAGATTTTGAGACTTAAGAAGACTGATCTGCATCACTTTAACAGTACTCACACCTTATCATCAACTAATTTATTTCATAGTTTTAATATTACTTCTGTTCCCACCTGCAGGACTTTGTTTGGACCAGCAACATGGTGCCAAACCTAAACCACCCTAACAGCCCAAAGATGATTTTTCGGAGATTCCCAGCCCCCAGGTCCAAGGGGGACTCTTCATCAAGCTCCTCTCCCTCTCCACACAGCTCCCCCAGTCCAAAACAACAGTGTAAAACAACTCATGAGGGAGGCAGAAAGGTAAAAGTGGGCAAAGTAAAACCCAGACGTCCTCCAGGGTCAAGACGTTCCCTCCAAAAACCAACTGCAGGTACCAAGCAGCCAAGATTGGTAGGCCCCAGACCAACGTGGGTCAGAAATATCAAAGCCATCCTCAAGGAACGTAACACACAGAGTGGCAAAGGATGGAGAATGCAACCAGGGCACGTTGAGCATAAGTCTCCAGCCAGGAGTACGTCACCTGCCTCTTCACCCAGGCTTCAGCCACGTTCACTCCTCACCTCTGGCAGAGAAAAAGAGACACCCAACTGTCCTGCAGGAAGAGGACTTTCTGTACAGACACCAATGTCAGGTACCCAGCAGCCACTTGGGTTTATGTCTAATCCAGGTCAGAACAAAGGCAGCAATAGGGCAGGGGGCCAGCAGAGGCGTAAACTTCCAACCAAAAAAACGTCTCCACCTGCTTCTCCACCCAAGCATGCTACTCTAAATTTACTCTCCAGCTCTTCTTCTTCCTCATCTTGTTCACTCAGCTCTCGCTCCACAAGTCCAGAACTGCAGGATCAGAGTATACAACTAGAGAAGCTGCTGTCCAAGAAAGAGGACGTTTAGAAGATCTACTGTACTGGATAAAATGTCTAAAATCTCAATGAACTCCGAGGCTCCTGCAAAACCCAAATGAAATATGCCTAGATAGGCCTCTGTAGCACACACAACTTTCCCCTTAGGCCATCTTACTTATTTAAACTGCTTAATTTCAGACAAATGTATAACAGATAGTCCTAGTATTAGTTATAGTAAATGGTAATTAAAAAAACACTTTATTTATTTAAATTAATTATTCTGGTTAGAATTTGTTCAAACATGGTCGGTGAATGCTAAAGCTGCTTTAAAAAACTGTTCTGAGAGCGTTACGTTAAATCTTCTCCCTTTGAAATTTCAGTTATATATTTAGTTTAGTTTATTTATTTACATAGATAAATGTTTATAAACTGAAAAACACATGAAATAAAATACATAAATAAATGAGGAGTATATAAAATAGTGCACAAATAATCACTATTTACGTGCAAATGTGTACTTTCTGTAATCTCGTCAACCCGCAGGTGTGTCACAGATAAAGTATATATGTGCAGTTATTCTTACCTTGTGGTTTGACAACACCGTAAGAGCTAAAATGTCAGGTATTAGGTCTACCTGTTGTAGACATCGTAGTTTTGTCCATACAGTCCAAACAGCACCTGTTATACTATTTTAATACTTAGTTTATAATGTATGTTTATTTGTATTTTGATGTGCGTCACCGTAAGTGGTCTGTGTATACATTGTGCAGTCAATCTGCGCCTCTCTGTGGCGGGATTTAGTACTGCTGCAAGATGTTCTTATTGGTTAAGCGAAGATGACGACGTTTGTGCGGGAAGCTTTGATCCATGTGGGTGGTCCAGGCTGTTGTTTAGGGGGGAAAAGGCAGTTTCTTTTTTAAACATGACCTGATGCTATTTCAGAAACATGGATATGGAGTAACTGGTTCAGCACACGGCGAACGTGTCTGACCTTACGTGACAAGTACCCGTTATCGTGAAACGTGAATTTCAACGCATTTTCATCTGGTTTTCTTGTTTAGAGATTGTTCGCCGCAGCTGTGGTTCAAATACGCACAATTACTCACTCTGTTACAACGCGACATGGCTTTGAATAATGAGGACGGGAAGAAGACCAGACCGTTCCTCTCTGTGACCACCCATACTGAATAAGCCTGCTGGAGACAGGAGGAGGGGGAGCAGAGGACGCCATGTCTGCCTGGTTGCCAGTTCCTAGATGAAAAAGGCAGAATTGCACCAATCTTTTTTAAAACGTCGAATAGATCAGAAAATCAATACCAGTGACAGGCAGATTAAGTTAACGTAAACAAAGGGCGAAATTGATGATTAACGTTGAAATAACACATAGAGGGATAGATACTCTTAGGAGAGTTTTATAAATAGGTCTAGAGTCCAGCCACGCTAATTTCTCTACTTCCAACTTGCTTTACGCAGGCAAGTATATATATATATATATATATATATACATATACATACTGTATATATATATACTGTATATGTTTATATATACATACACACATACTGTATATGTATGTATATATATTACTACTTTCACTTGAAATTGGTTTGGGGAAAATAGTCAAACAAACAAGATACGAAAGAATGGCCAAGCAGTGGAAGAAGTAAATAAATTAAAATATATATATATCTGATCAGTAGGTATTGAATCAAGAACATAACACAAGACAAACAAAAAAAAAGAAAGCATTTTACTTCAATTTAACTATTGTGTTATTATGTTTTACTTATTTATTTAATTATTTAGTTTGATATATAAGTAATTTGCTTAGGGGAATTGTAATTTTAGGAAAAAACATGGTGGTTTTTATAATAAATTATTAGTTTAAGTAATTATTGTAATATTAATTTATAAGCTTATTTTGCAATTGCCTTTTTTCTAAAGTGTTTATAACACAAGTTTTGAATGTAAACTTTCCGTTTTGGTATTGGGCAATGTTTTGGGGGCAGGATATCTTTTTAGTGACTGATTTTTATCTCTTATATCTGGCAACCCCGCATCTCAGTCGCAGCTGCTGGTCTGTAATTCTGCCTCAAAAGTTAACAAACCTTTACGGTTTTCGGGAGTTTCTTTTATTCCTAAACCTCGATCCACACTTTAGGACCAAGGATTGGGTAAACGAGGAGTAAAATGGAGGTTTTATCACCGCCAAGGAGAGAATGTGCAGCCGTGGAGCAGTCCCAGAGCAGGTAAAAGGGGGATAAAGTGTCCATGTTTGCAGCAGGAACAATGGGAGAAAGTTTTGTGCTAATCGAGGCTAAGTAACGGTGGTTAGCCTTAATGCTAACGAGCAATGGAACCTTGAATTGCTCTTTAGATAGTCATTTTTTCGAAGGACAAAAAAGGCTTTAAAGAATAAGTTTTAACATTTTTTTCTGTACAAACATGTTTTTATATGAAGTTTATGAAGTATATTTACTCAGCGTATAAAAACAAAGTAAAATGTTTTACTCCCTCCGTAACTGACCAGTTTATTAAGACGTAGTAATAAGGGCTAATGTGTATTAACGTAGTAATTCACTAAATCTCAAAACCCCGAGGTTTATCCTTTAGATCCACTTTCTGTATAAGGGTAGAGGTTTTCAGTTGTCACCTTTGAAAGCATCATGGCTGAAAACTGGGTTTTGTCAAAATGTCAATGTGCGTTAAAAGTTAAAGTAAGCATGAGCACGAAGTTGCAAATAACAACACAGTACATAAGTGGCTGAAAGAAAAGTAATAATATATGCGTTTACAGGACCTGCAATAGCGCTAGTTACCTAGAATAGAAGTGTCAAAAACGACAATCCCTATAGACATTAACAAGATCAGACTGTAGTCTGTTACATAAACGGACTACTTAAACAGACATAGCAGAAGCATATGGTTTAGTTGCATTAAATAAGATCTGAACTCTGTCAGGGAAATTAAAGCCATACAACTCAAAAACGTTGTCCCCATAGTGAAATGTTGAGAAGTTGGATTATAGTACTGGGGAGATGCTGCAATGTAAATGGACCTACAAGTCTTTTGAGGGGGGAGAAGTTGTTGAGAGAGGAATTGAGAGAAAGATTTGTGATTAAAAAAAAAATCTTGAAGACGGTTTCAATGGTTATTTCAGGGTAACATGAAAATATTATAATTTCCCAAGACCTGTGTACATGTACATTTTCGGGATCTGACAAGTAATACTTGTCATTAGGGATGCACCGATACAGTACTTTTGTCAAATTCCCGTACTCAAACTCAAAAATGTGCTGATCCAGCAACTCGATACTCTGATGGCTTTTCAGCCCAATAGGCTGAGTACAGGTCAGCCTGTTGTGTTTTCTTTCCTACTGCAGTTCAATTTCTCATTGCCCTGAGGTGTAGTATATTTAACTAGGTCAACAATGTCAGCAGTTTGGAGGTATTTTTACATCAGGGACAAAGACATGAGCAAGGATTACTGTAAGATTTGTTCTGTTACAATATGAGCAATTCAAGAAAAACACCTGCTGACTTCTCAGGTTGATGGCATTGTTTTACTTTATTGGGGAGATTTTTTTTTACATATATATTTCTTTTTTATTGTTTAATTCATATATTTTATGTCTAAATGATAATGACAGTGTAATTTAAGCATTTTGATATTATATTTTATGTCTAAATGATGACAGTGTAATTTAAGCATTTTGATAATTACAGAACAACTGCTTTCCTTTTAAAAATAAAACTGGCTGCAAGAATGTTTTGCATTGAGTGTCTTCTCTTTGGTTTGGTTTGAGCTCACACACCTGTACAGCACTGCCTTCCAGCTCATATCACATTTATTGAAACCTTAACTTTGAATAGTGTCAGTGCTATTACTTGGTATCAACAAAGACACAATTGTACAATATGTCATGTTCATAAATGAATGGGTTTGTAACTAATGGTATATAGAAAGCCTTACTCATCTGACATTGGTTGTGGGAACTAAAAATATTCTGTCCCTTTTTTTTCAGCAGTCTCCCAGCATTCCTTCCTCAACTCTCAACTGTCCCAAGATCTCACCATGAACATCAGTAGAAACTGCAGTGCAGCAGGGAATGGTGAGGGTCTTGCGGCCCTGGAGTCAGTCTCCATTGTCACCATCACACTGCTGGCCTGCCTCGGGAACCTCCTGATTGTAGTCACCCTCTACCGCAAACCTTACCTGCTCACCCCTAGTAACAAGTTTGTGTTCAGCCTGACTCTGTCCAACCTGCTGCTTTCCACGCTGGTGCTACCCTTCGTGGCTGTCAGCTCAGCTAAGAGGGAATGGGTGTTTGGGGTAGTGTGGTGCAACTTCACCGCCCTGCTCTATCTGCTCATCAGCTCAGCTAGCATGCTCACACTGGGTGCCATTGCCATTGACAGGTTAGTGCTCAACTATGAAGTTCTTTTAACAGGAAAGTTATGCAATTGTAACCATTTTTGTTTTAGCATGTTTTGGCTAATTCTGATGGATTTCTGCCATATTTTTAGCTAACATGGCTATTGTCTCTTTAGCTATTTGTACCATCAAGGTATTTTGCACTCCCTTTTTAGTCAAAATTACATCTTTCGTTGTTTTGTTTAGGGCTTAGGTTTAAGTATTTTGCCATTTACATTTTTCGATTACTTTTTTCAGCAGCTTAGTTTTGACTTATTTGTAGCCATTTAAAAAAATGTTATAAAATTATCGAACCTATAGTTCTTTGTAAGGTTAGTTTTGCTTTGTTTATTATGTGGTTTACCTGAAAATGTCATAAATAATAGCAGTAAAAATCCAAAATGATGTAATTTACTCATTATGTGGAGAGGGAAGTGACCCAAGGATAACAGAGAAATGTTTGTGTTACAAATATTTGTACATGGCTCTCATTACAGTTAACCACAACCACCACCTCCATCATTTGCAGCTGCTTATTGACCTTTGGAGATAAATTGTGGTTGCATTAAGCCGCTCCTCCCAACCCACTTCTGTGTTCCTGAGTATGAGGCAGGAATTGTAGGACCTTTTAATACTATTAGTTTATAAAAAGAAACAATGATTAGGGTTGTCTTCTTCAACTCATTAATTAGCTGGTATATATTGGTTGTTACATTTCTGTTGAAAAGTGACCATTTATTTCAGTGCCCTAATTGTTGAACTACATTCTTTTTATGTTCTTTAAAGTTTACAGGATGTATTGTGAATTGACTAAACATCTACTTTTACTAGGGTTTTTTCTTCCTTAAAATCAGCCAATTTTTCTCAGTGCTTCACTTAGAATTTCTCAGTAGCTCCTGACTATCCTGCTTCTCTGTAAATAAGATTAGTTAACAGCATTTGCATGTTTTTTCTCTTACTGTTTTATCCAGTTCTAGTGACAACTATTAGGACTATATAAAGATTTCATAAGACTGAAGAATGCACCCTTCATCTTCAGAAAGATAGTTATTTTTTCCTTACAGGATATGCCATTATGTCAACAAAGAAACAAAAACAGACAAAATAACACTGGCCATTTGCAAACTGTTAAACTGACACACCAAACTGTGCTTTGATGTAAATAGGAAAACAATGAACTCTTCGTTGTCATTGATACTAACTAAATTCACTTGAGCAGAACTGTTGACCTGTAAAACACTTCTAGCTTACATGTCTTTACATCCTTGACAAACAATACCTTGGGTATGAATGAGTATGGCTGATCTTTGACAAAGAAAGTGGAGAAATTTTATTAGATTAAAACTGAAATGTAAAACCCTTTCCCTCTTTTTGGCTGTAGGTACTACGCAGTGCTATACCCGATGATCTACCCCATGAAGATCACAGGAAACCGGGCAGTGGTGGTCATCACGTACGTTTGGCTGCACTCCCTGGTGGGCTGCCTGCCCCCTCTCTTTGGCTGGTCCTCCTTTGAGTTCGACTGCTTTAAATGGACTTGCGTCGCATCATGGCACAGAGAGCCGAGCTACACTTTCTTCTGGGTTACCTGGTGCATCCTCCTACCCTTAGTCATCATGCTGGTCTGTTATGGAGTCATTTTCCGCGTAGCCCGCATGAAAGCACGGAAAGTGCATTGTGGTACAGTGGTTGTAAATCAGGACGAATCCAACGGTACTCAGAAGAACGGGCGTAAGAACTCAAGCACGTCGCTGTCCTCAACTGGAAGCAGACGAAGCCTGGTGTACGCAGGGAGTCAGTGCAAAGCCTTTGTCACCATCTTAGTGGTGATAGGGACGTTCCTGGTGACCTGGGGTCCATACGTAGGGGTTGTGTGCACTGAGGCTCTATGGGGACCAGGAAGTGTCTCTCAGGCTCTGGAGACTTTGGTAGCGTGGCTTTCTTTTTGCAGTGCTGTCTGTCACCCACTCATCTATGGTCTATGGAATAAAACAGTAAGGAAGGAGCTGCTGGGGATGTGCTTTGGGGATCGGTACTACAGAGAGTCGTTTGCCACTAGACACAGGACGACTAGACTCTTCAGCATCTCAAACAGAATCACAGGTGAGGAACATTGTCAGTCTTGAGCCTTGTCCACATGTAGATGCTGGTTTTAAACGCTGGTTGTCCTCCTCTTCTTTATGAGTTATCCTATCCACTTCACAACAGTGTTTATTTAAGTTTATTTTATTTAGCCTATATTTCTTCAACCTAAATAAGCCACACCACTGTAGACTCCTTGTTATTAATATTGTTGTATGATATGAATATCCATGTGTCATTGCAGATCTGGGTATGTCTCCACACCTGACTGCCATATTGGCTGGAGGAGGACATCTGCTGGCTCCTGGGAGTAGTACAGGAGATACTGGCTTCAGTTTCACCCAGGATTCCGGTCAGTGTTGGGTTGATACCAAAATTTCTGTCTGTCTGACAGTCTTGATTACACTTGAAGCTGAAAGAACATTATCCATTTGAGCTAACTATTGTCTTTCTTAAATTTCAAATATCTTATAACATTATTTTTAGTATAATAGATTAGATGTCCGATATTGTCCAAGCACTTAATTTCCGATTCCTAGATCAACCGATACCGATATAGGCCTGGTAATATTTATTTATCTGTAAAAACCACTGGATGAGAATGAGATTAATTAAATGAGCTGCAATGGAATTGCGTTATTGGGTTTTCATTATTGGAGGAAAAAACAGTAACGATTCTTACAAGAATTATATGCTAATATCAAGATAATGTTGGTCGGCCGATATAATCGAACATCCCTATTTTTTAGACTTAAATATTCAGCTGTAAATGTGTTTTTTTCACATGCTTACCAATTGTTTTTCTACCATTGTTGTAGTATAAACAAGTTTCCTAATTTCTTGATCCACATTCCTTTAACATGGCTCACCTTTTCATGCCAGAATGCATATAAATATGACAAGTAATGTCATGTAAAACAAGGATCTTTTTGTTTTGTTTCCACTATAGGCACAGACGTGATGCTGTTGGATAACTTCTCCACTGACAGCTCCTCACACCCACAACATCACTGGAACCTGTCTGGGAAAAGGAGGAGCTCCGTCACCTTTGAGGACCAAGTGGAGCATTCCAAAGGTGTTTATCACTTTCCTTTCCCAACAACAGATTAGAGAACAGTCTCCTTTTGCTTTGTCAACCTCACAGATAATACTATTTGTCCGTTTTTTTATTCCTCAGTTGAGAACACCAATTCTTCCTCAGTGCAGGTCCACGCAGAGGTGCACAAATCCCTCGACACGTTTGCCTCCTGTCTGGCAAAGGCAATAGAAAGCGACGCCAAGCTGACCATGTTTGGAGAGGAGATGACTCTGCCAGGGGTCTTTGTGCCCAAAGCAGCAGCAACAAGACCCAGATACCTGGACGGTCAGAGACTCAGGCTGGAAAGCATAGATGAAGGGATTGTGAAAGACGACCATCATGAAGAGGAAGAAGAGCAGCAGGAGGAGAAAAAGGAGAAGGAGAAACCAATCTGAACACAGATAATCTAGTGGTTAACTACACTGTGTTTATTATAACTGAACTGTTACTAAATAGAGCTGTGGTACAGAGGATGAAGTCCCATCATGCACGGGTACGCAATACTTGAAATGAATCAGAAAATAGGAAGTGGTACAGTATTCTTTCCAACCAGTTGGACCAGTTTGTATGGACTTAATGTATTTAAATGGGAAGCCCTGCCTAACTACTGTAAATTATATGATCGTTGTAGTACAGTGTATTTTACTGTGTTTTCGTTGTATGTCCTCAGGTTTGGGAACATCATCAGGACAGTGGAACAGCTCCGTTCTGTCTGTGTCTGTTACAGCTGTAGTATTTATTTGGTCTTTCATTCATTATCTTGTTCTTCTTCTACTTTGGTTGTGGTGGGAGTAGAGTGATGGGGCAGGTTACATCAGGGTCACATACAGACAAAACCATTCACACACACGTTCACACCACAGCATCAGTGGGAGTCTCCATTTGTGTGCACTAAAAAGGCAGGCAATTTTTGCCTGATCTGTGTCAGTTTTGACCCAATCAGGTTCACTCAAGTAGTGAAAACCAAACTGGTTAAAACTAGTCTGCAGATGCTAGTAGTTACTCAGAACAACATTTTATAAGTATCATGCAAGTCTTAAAGAAAGAAAATTGTACAGTAGACTAATGTTACACTTGTTTGCTGGTTATGTGTCTTACCTCATATATATGTATGTATATAAATATACATACATATATAGATATACACACGTTTATATATGTACATGTGTGTATATGTACACACACATACAAATATATATAGTTTCTTGATGAAAGGAAGACTGAACATATGTAAAATGAACACAGCTTCAGTTTGGAGCTAAAGTCTTACCTCGTATTTTCTCCTATTTAAACATTAAACAGGTACTTTTAAAAAAAAAAAAAAAACAATGCTGTATGCCTGACAGATGATGTAGCCCTCTGATTTATATTAAGTTACATTTATTACCAATATTTGCATTAAGGTTTTGTATCAAGAATATGACATTAAAAGTGTTGTGTTTTTCACAAGTCTCAGTTTCTGAGCATTTAATGTCTGGACTATAAATTAAATCTTTTGGCTGTTTTAACTTAAAGCATTTGTCTGTAACTAATTACAGCTGTTCAACTGTAGTATTTTAGTTAGTGAATATATATATATATACGTGTAATATATATAAACTTTAGTGTTGTCTGAACGTTTACTGTTGAATGACAGTAGACCATGGTCTTTAGAAGGACAATGGTATTGTTACAAAAACTGAATACATTAGCTCAGCTACGCGGCCGAGACACAAATGGACTATTAACCTAAAACTTTTACTCTTTAACACAAAATGCAGGTCCACTTTAAAAATAATAATAATTAAAAGGGGGTTTGAGGGATGTTGCCGTTGCTGCGGGCAGGTGAGCCTGCAGTTACGATTCATTGACTAGATATTGGATATGCTAATTCTAATATGTTCATCTACTCAAAACCAGAACAAAACACATACATAACGTTAACTTACCGTTTTTAAGTGGTCTGCCATGTTTGCCAGTCGAGCTGTGAAATGCTAACTGTTGCTTGCAGTTTTTCATTCGACTTTGTTTCCGTTCTTATTTTTGTTAAATGCTGCCACACTGTCGCTGTCTTTGATATGGAACACGAGGACTGAGTGTAAATGAAACGCTCAAATTTAACTATACATTCAGCAAACCGCCGGACACTTGCTTCTGTTATGGTCTTCAAACTGTCTGTTTGCGTGTTGGGCTAATCCAAAATAGTGAAACAAGGGGGTTGTTTTCAACCTGTTACCTGTGAAATGGGGTGCTCTGAAAACACCCCTATTAGTACTTGGAACTTTCCTTCGGATGAAATTAACGCACACAAAAAATCGACCAATCAGAATTTTGGTCGCGCCAGAACATACAGTATCAACCATCAACTGACCAGTCGACTGTGGGATTACAGCCCTACTTAATTCTAAACCATGCCCTCCTCTGTAGTGTGAGCGTCACGTGTGACAGAGGTGTTTATATAGTGACACTGACCTTCATTATTAAAACTTATAATACACCTGGGGGTCTAGGAATTAGAGTCCTAGTACTACTCTGTAGTTTGTCATTATTTGTCAATATTACACTGTACCAAAAAATACATCTGGGTTACAAATGTTTTCTAGCTATTTGTGGCTAATTTAGTAGTCAATGTAAACTATTCAGCATTAGCATCAGTGGCAAATTTTTTATCAACAATTTTTGTTTTGGCTCTGGACTTATTTTTATTTTATTTTTTATTTTAATTAGCTGTATGTTGGGCTAATAGAAAAAAAAGTGTTTACATTTTACTTAAGCTTTGACTGAAAGAAAAAGCGGAGACAAACATTTATATTTTTAATATTTATTATTTCTTTTTTTGTGGATTATGGTTGATCATAAACAGTTGTTTATTTTTTATCTTCCACACCAGTGCAGACATCTTTGAGATGGCACCTATTTTTTCGGCTTTGTAAAAGAATACAATTAGGGTTTTTTTTTAAACCTTTAAGAAAAAGAACCTATGTTTAACCTTGCTTTAAAACACCTTTTTAAAGCATTTTCCAAAACATTTTTACTGAAATTTCCTGGTTTTACATGCATAACTGCTGAGACAGCGCTTTAACACTTTTCAACTTTGTGCTACAAATCCAAAAAACAAAAACCCTCACACGTTAACACTGTTCAAAGTTCACTCTCTCCTAATAGAAATCATATTGCACTTCACATCCTTTCACACACTCTTCTCCATCACTCTCACACTTTTAGTATATATATAAATTTACTGTATATACTGACGTCCTCTTGCTCTGCATTCACACTGGTGGAGTTTCATCCTCGTACAGAAACATCAGTAAGAAAGTCATCATAATATAAAACCAACACAGTGGAGCTATAAATTTTTCTCATTTCCAAAAGGAAATCATCATCATCATCATCACGTCACATCGTCCTCATCATCATCATTATCATCTACACTGTACTTGTACAAAACGTAGGCTTTTCTTGTTGAAGTGCTTTCTTAGAGCAAAAAGAAATTCAGGATTTGTCTCTTTGAAAATAAATTTCAGATGTTTATTGTTCGTCATCATTGTCCTGTCCTGATCCTTCAGAACGATCGCCCTCCAGACGATCTGTGATTGAAAAAAATGTTTGCAGTTTGATAAGATTCCTTTTTAATTCCTTAAAGTCAGTTGTTTATATATATAATATTTCTCTGCTCTTGCTCTTCTAAGTATTATAAGTACCAGAATTCTGTACCAGACTTTTGTACCTGATCTGATGTGATTGAGGGAGGCCAACATTCGAAGCATGAAAGAAGCTGGGACTGTGATCGTGTTTCTCGTTTCTTCTAACATCAGCTCATTGCGAGTTATCACCTTGTAAGAAAAGAAAGAAGGTGGAAAATGGACAGGGATAAGTTACATTTTATAAAATCTCTACACGTGTTTAATAAATTCTGTGACTGATACGACTGATCGGTGTCACCTCATCTGCCAGGACTCGGTTAAAAGATGCCGACTCTTCCAGTGGAGACCAGATCTTGATGTCGTAGTCAATCCCTGAAGAAGCCAAGACTGGAAGATCGCCGATATTATGAGGTTAGCATAAATTGAGAGCGTCAATCAGAATCATTGAAGGTGTGGGTTATTAACTCACTGGGGTCGTAGGGATGCGGCTGCAGGCAGTTGACCACGTGGTTGTCTGCTTCCAGCAGCATGAGGTGTTCACCTGTGTGTCTGTCCCAGATGAAGATGTGGCCGCAGTCTGAGCCGCTCATCACAAAGTTGTTGCCCCAGAAGCAGGACTCTTTTATCTAAAGACAAAAACAACATTGTGTATTACAGTAATAAAACTGTTGTGGTCAGACAGGCTAAAGAAATATGTAGCCTCTCTTTTCTGTGTTTTGGATTTCATTTTGAAATCTTGTTTTGTGTCTATTGGTTGATTTTAATCACATGACTTGTCCTTTGAGCTGAATGGAACAGATTCAAATGTGTTGAATGTGACCATTCTTAGTTAGTTCTGCTCATCAGTCCAGATCTAGAGTGAATTAGAACCTGGGTTGGTTTCTGACCGTGGTCCACAGTTTATTGGTCAGAATGAATGTGGTCTAACAAATACAGTTAGAGTGTATCCCTTCACCATTGTTCTGGAGTTACGGTGGCCCTTGTAGACCATCTTGACCTTGGGCCTCCTGATGTTCTGGGTCTCGCTCTCTTCCATCTCTCGTCTTTCCTTCCTCCTGCGGAACAACTCCTGGATGCGAGCTGCTGCCGAGCGTCTGACAAACACAACCCAAAGAGGTACAATGTAAATGAATGGAGTGAAAGGCAAAGCAGATAAACCTGTGCTGTGACATTAGACAGTTACATCTGTCAACAAAAAGTAACTCTGTTTAACAAAATGATTGTATTTAGAGGAATTATGACGATAAAGCTCAATAAAAAACAGTATACGAGTGAACACCATGTGTTTTGAAGCTTCTGATCAGATTAAAGAAGCAGCCAGCTCACTTAACTTAAACTTAACTAGAATGAAATGAGGGAAAACAAAACAAAACAAAAAAAAAACACAACAGTATAAATAAATGTATATATATATATATATAAATATGGTGAAGCATCTGTGGGTGATCCAGTTTTAAAATTTTCATTGGTCCTGCATCCATTTCATCTATACAGTCTTTGGCCATTCATGCATTTAGTTGATGCTCCCATGAAACCAAAACCAATGCAAATCCAAAGGACTTTGTTTCATTCTCTTACATTAATTGTTTAATTCGGTTTAAGAGTGTAAATTGAGTTCCATCATATACACTAGATCTGACAATAGGTGGAGGTGGAGGAGATGAAGGTGACCAGGATGGTCAGGAATAGAAATGATCAGATCAGAGGGACAGTTAGATGATAAGTATATATACACTGGACAAAGGATGTTGGAGATGGAGTTTTCAGGAAGAAGAACAAGAAGACCTCAGAGGAGATTTGTAGATGTAGTGATGTAGGACATGGAGATGGTTGGTGTAACAGCAGATATGATAGGATTGAGGCAGAGCTACTGTGATGACCCCTGAAGGTAAGTGCTGACCAAATATGAAGAAGATACAAAGATCCAAACTCTACTGTACGGTCCATCATGATGCCATGCATGTTTTTTTCTGTATTAGACCCTGATCTGAGCACTGGAACTGTGTTACTGATCTCTACATGCCTCTCAGTTCAACAACATGCACATCAGACCGACATCAGCTGTGTGATCGTTAGTCATTCTTTGGAGTGAATAACAGAAGCAAACCTAAACACCAGTGTCTTCATTCACAGAGTGGAGTATTTGTCGCACATCACACAAACCACTGACAGGTTAATGCTCTCAGCGTTTGGTGCAAACACGTTACCTGATCATTCTATCTCCTACTGCAGATCCTCTGCTGTTAAATCTACAATTCATGGGAGAACAGTCATTGGAAGTGAATGACAAAAACATGGTTGGATCCACGCTGCATGTTGGTGAGACATGGTGTCGCAAAGTATCTCCTCTATCACACGTTAGTGCTGCATGTACTCCTGTGTGTACAAAATAATGCAAGTACTGGTCTGTGTACTTTCACAGCAATACTGCTACAAGTACTACTGTAAGTATATGCGCATACTACTGCTAATACAGTATCTTGTACTGTTTTGTGTACTGCTTTGTGTACAGCTGTGTACTCTTGCATATACAACTGCTTGAAATGCTGCGTGTACTGCTATATGTACTGCTATGTGTACTGCTCCACGTATTACTGCGTGCTGATCTTACAAACTGATTAACTGAACTTTCAGAACTCTATTTCGCAGCTGCAGCATGCTGCACACACACATTCACACACACACAGAGTGTGGATCCAACTTGAAAGTATATACCAACATATACAAGTACACACACAGAACAGCCTATATACACGGTTTTGCCTTCCTGTCGTACCTCGGTGCTTGTCCTCTGAACCTGGCTGATGGGATGAGGATGGGATCGTCGTCGCTGTCGCTGTCGTCCTGGTTCACTCGTGCAGGCTGACTCTGTGCTTCCATGCCTGAGGGAGCGGCAGGTTCAGCTCTCCTGCAGCCTTCTGATATGTCCCCCACGCCCTCCGTCTGACTCCTCTCCTGTGTTGCGGACACACCGTCACCTTGCGAGGAGCTCTTTTCTGACGGGGTCTGAGGCCCCGTGGAGCTGGAGGCTGAGGCTGAGGCTGAGGCTGAGGCTGAGGCTGAGGCTGAGGCTGAGGCTGAGGCTGAGGCTGAGGCTGAGGCTGAGGCTGAGGCTGAGGCTGAGGCTGAGGCTGAGGCTGAGGCTGAGGCTGAGGCTGAGGCTGAGGCTGAGGCTGAGGCTGAGGCTGAGGCTGAGGCTGAGGCGGAGCAGGAGGCGTCGCTCTGAGGCTCTGTGGAGGCAGCAGGTGAAATCTGCTGCTTGCAGGAGTCAGACGGACCTGAACGAAGATGGATGTAGGTGATTAAAAATGTTACTTCACAAGTTTGAATTAACTCATTAAAAGCTATTGCCGCTCTTTTTTCCCCCTATTGTCACATGATTGTTTTAACAGTAAGGTTTTTTTCATGTGTGCTGCAGATTGTAAGCAGCCTGTTAGTGTCCGTGATGCTGCGGTGCCGACTCACCCTGCTCTGTCTCTGAGCTCTCTGTCTGCAGTCTCTGTGTGGTCACAGTCTCAGATGGTTTGTGAGCTCCGCTGCTCATGGAGCCTGATGTACTGCTCCTGTTATAAAAAGAGATGAGAGTAAAGGTGACACTCCAGCCTCTGTGATTCTCTCCAGACCTGGTAATAGCATCCATCCAGAGTCATCTGATCCCGGCAGTAAATCCAACTGTTCACACTTAGCCCTGAAACACATCTCCTGGGAGCAAGTGAGATCAGACCTGACCTGTTCAGTATTTAACTACACAATGACTTCATGTGTTTAGGAGAAATAAAGTGTCCTTTTAGAGACAAATTTGTCTGTACAGATGTTTTACAACACCTTTAAACCACAGAAACATCACAGAGTCTTACAAATTTTTAATGTTAAACTTACAAGGAAAGTATTCCAAATAAATTGTAGCATTTATGCATGTTAGTTCTCAATGGTAGAATGTGCAGTGGAGTGAAGAGACAATGTCCCAAATTCATCTTAATACTAACATAAGATGACAGACAGTAAAACTTCATCAAATGATTCAATCTGTTTTCTTCTTTTGTGACAAATGTTTGATAACTCAGGTCAACTTCAACACTCTGGTCAATCTGGGATGGCTTTGTCACATATTATTATCATTTCTGGACTACTATTCATGAATGGCTCTCAGAAGCACTCCAGAAACATTCAGCCTGATTTCCAACCTGGCCTCATTGGGCTGTTCTTCAGGCGTCTTTAATTTACCCTGTAACATTCAGGCAAGCTTAGGTTTGGCGATGGTAGAGGCCAAGAAACCTATCCTTCTAATATGGAAGTCCACGTCTCCAGCTCGTCTTACATGTTAACTAAAGGAGATGTTGTAGGTTATATGTGTCAAACTCAAGGCCCAGGGGCCAAATGTGGCCGGTCAAGCCATTTTGGGTGGCCCGTGGGAGATTAAAAAGCATTTAGTAAAGTAAAGATATAAAATTGGCTTTTTAGTACAAATCTGAGGAAGGAGAGTTGAGGATGTGGTCTTGAATACTTTTTAAAATGACTTAATGCTTTTATATATACATTCTACATTGCATCAACATAAAACATTCAAAAGACTTTTATTCATCTACAGGAGTAGTTCAGCTGTGTTGACTTCAGAGAGCAGAGAAGCAGAGATCCTCACCACTCATCAGTGAAGTCCAGCTTTATGGTACTGGTGGTGGTTCCCTCTGAGCTGTAGTGGAGACTAAGGACCGGCTCTGCTGCGCTGGGTCGGCTGGTGCTGGTCACGGTGGTGGAGGAAGAGGGAGATGAAGAACTGCAAGGAGGTGCTGATTCTTCTGGACACATACCTGCAGCTGCTTCTGAGAGGAAAACAAAAGGGTTGAGTAAAGGTGGTCAGGAACACACAAAGGCAAGAAATGAGAAACGGCCTGTTGTATCTTTACTAAACAGCACCAGAAGAAATGCAAACATGCAGAGGAACAGAAAAATAATGAGGAGCCCATAGTCAGAAAGACAGAAATTTTGAAAATATACCACTGAAAATTTCAAGACTGCAGCTTTCAATGCCAAATAGAATAAATAGTTGCTTTTGGAATGAATGTGGAAAAAAATAACGGCAAGGCTTTTATATAACCAAAAATATAATCTTTCGTGTGTATATATAATAATATAATAGTATATATAATTAAAATATATTAAAACTGTTTATCTTTTGAAAAAAAAAAGAGCCAAAGAGTAGCTGAGAACAGCAGCAATTATAGTAGATGAAGCAATACGACAGAGACAGTAGCAACTATCATAATACTTCATACTGAGAATGTATAAAGGAAAAGCCAGAAGCACAAAGTTTAGAAACAAGGCTGAAAAATGAAAAGGCATCAATAGGACGGTGACTGTGAAGAGGTTTAGAATGAGGGAAAGGGTTTAAGTGTCCAAGAAAGTAAAATAGCAAGTATCAGATTTGTGTAATATTGGGTGGACGACCAACCCTGCAGTTCATCCAGAGTCATGGATCCCAGCTGTTTGTTCACCACAGACGATGGTGAATCTGCAACACAGACAAGACTTTCTAAACATCGGACATCACATCTAGATGCCTACAACACAGTCTGCTGATTGTTTTGTCACTCCTAGGCTGCACCCATATGTCCCTCTGACTGCACACCTCATCGCAGTCTTACTGCCCACATACTTGTCCTGCACCACCCTTTTAGTACTTTTTAGCCACTCCTGATCCCATGATATTTTCTGCAGTGTTGCACACAAAATAGCATCTTGTCAGCTGCTACATACCAATAAGAGTGATCTGTATCTCTAAACTGGCCCAGAGTGGACAAACTCTCATGCAGAGGACTATAATTCCTTAAATGTGTAGAGAAGATACGGAGATTCAGATCATCCTTCTAAAATATTACGAATCAGAAAAACCTAAAATCTGTGCTGTGTCACACTGACTTGGGAACATCTGCAAAAAAAAGCTTCTTGTGAACAGCCGCCTTTAAGTGTCAGCTGGTGCCACTCCATACGCAGAGGTCGCAACAGGTAAAATATCATGTCACAAGTGAAAGTGATGGAGCGAGAGAGCAGTGGTGAGTAAGAAGCCCAACAGACAGAGCAGCAGAGAGGCCCCACAGAGGCAGCTACAGGGGTTAATAAGTACAAGGTGCATTACTGACGAAAAAAGAGAGGATCACTGCAGGATTAGTGGTCAATTTCGGGCAGGACCTATTCTGTCTGGAGCAGGACTGCCAATAAAAACAAGTCTGCTTTTGACTGCACTGTATCAAGCAGGAGTGTAAAAATATGGCAGGGCAGAGCAACAGCCAGTGCTGCAGGGGCGGGAGGGTAACCTGTAGGTGGTTGCGTCTCCACAGCAGCGGCTGCTCTTTGCGAATGCCTCTCAATGGCTGCAGAAGAGGAGGAGGAAGGAGAAGAAGACCGGGCCACACGCTGACCCTGTCCTGGAGGGTCAGCCAGCCGGAGTAACCTCTGCAAACGCCTACACACTAAGCTTATAGGAATGCGCTGAGGACCGTGCTCTGACAGAGAGGTGAGATGAAGAGAGGGGAGAAGTGAACCAGGATTAGAAGGCTGAGGAGAGGATGGGTGAGGAGACAAAAAATAATGAGCAGATGGACAGAACCAGATGCTAAAGGAAGAAACAGAGTGGAGTGGACTGCTGCTGGAGTGGAGTGGCTCCAACAAACACGGGCTTAAAGGTTCAGAATGTGGGGTTTTATGCATTAGTGTTGGTGATCAATATGTCTGCAGCACCATCTTCCTCAGGTAAGGTGATAGTGCCCTCTCCTGGGTAGACTTCAGCACTGATGTGTTACATTTACATTTTTACACTATTTCAACAATTCTTCCCTTTTAGTCCAAAACAATACATTTAAATTTTTTACATTTATTTTTTAATAAACTTAACTTTAATGATCTACAACAGAAAGTCCCTGCTAAGTTAATCCCTTCTCCCCCACCACCTCCACAATCATCTTTTTTTGCTGTTTCCCATACCTGAATTACATTACTGCCACCTACTATGTCTATTTTCCACTCGTGAACATTTTCACAAAATGAAAGAGGAAATACAGACGGGGGCAGCATTTCATTAAAGCTCTGTGGACTTCGTACAGCCTAATACAATTTGTATGTGTAATATGTTTTTGTCAGGGAGGTGCATCAACCTTAAACAGTTCATTTATGAAAGGAAAAAAACTCAATGTGTCACCTGAAAATCTTTGGAAAAAAAAAAAAGAAAAGAAAATAATTTCCTACCTGAGAGTGCAGGTTCCGAGGTGGATGTGGTCGACGGTGTTGGAGTCCTGGTCGTGTTAGACTGACTCCTCTGCTCCAAGTCTGGGGAGGATGTAGGAGGAGGGGAGGAGGAGGACGCACCTGAGCTCTCTACTGATGTGGAGGAAGGAGGTGCTGTGACAGTGGATGATGACCCTGAGGAGGAGGAAATGGACTTTGATATGGGTGCTGCTCCTGCAGCATCATCAGCAGCAGCAGCAGCATCAGATGGCGCTGTGGAGGAGGAGGACGTAGCAGCCGCAGCAGCAGTTTCATCTGTGCCGTCAGCCTCCGCGGGAGTCTTGGGGACTCTAGACTCCTGACTGGAGACTTCTGCAGGAGGAGCTGGTGGATTTGATGTGACCTCTGGACGGATGGCTGTTCCTGAGAGGAGGACGAGGTTTATACTGGTCAAGAACACAGCGTTTACATCTACTTCTCCTAGACACAAACAGGATGCCGACTCTTACCTTAAAATTATTTTCCAGGACACGTCATGATTGCATCACTAAAACTAGGCGCCCATTTGTAATGCATCGAAACATATTCTCTTCTACTGTTCTACCTTGTAATCAATACTTTCATTCATGTTTTCAAGAGGACAGACAGAAGACACTGTGGCTGAGGGACAGAAAAACATTTGTTGACCAAACAGTCTATGTCCTGGACCGACACTTCTCGAGACCTTCTCTCAAGTTCTCATTTTCCATATGCTGCATATGGTACTGTAGTGCGTGTCTCCTCACCTCGTGGTCGCGCCTGAGGTCGGGTTCCCCTGCTGCTCTGGGCCTCGCTGGCCTCCTCAAACCAACGGGACAACATGTCCGACATCCTCTGCATCAAGGACACATTTGGACTCTGCTCCCCTGCAACATACAACCAAGTCAAAGGAAAAGTTATTCCACCAATACCCCAACTATCACAGGGTACTCATGTGTAACATCAACACGCACACGCTGACAAAACAAGCTCAGCTACTGATCTATAAATGGCTCAATGTGGCTGTGTTTACAGGCCAGCCTCGACCAGGAAGTCATAATAAGAACAAGTGTTTAGATGAACACTGATGGAGAAAACGTTCAGTATAAACATGGCTTCTCTCTCTCTCTTTCTGAATGGACTTTGGGAAGCATCACTTATCACGTCTAATAAAAATGAAAAATATCAAGTGATTTTTAGAAATAAATAAAAAAAAAATAAACAGTCATTCCATTGTACAATAAACAACATCAGACATCATTTGTCATCTCAGCTTTAGACTCTACGCACACACAGACATAAACACAGCCAAGGCAACGTGAGCTCACCATCCCTCTCTCTCTCACTTTCTGGACGAGCTCGGGGGCCGGTATCGGACCAGTCGCCTCGTAGCCTCAGACGCTTCACTGGGGGCTGCCTCAGCTGTGGACACACACGCAGTCTGGCTTTTATGGGTTGTCAGGACATCACATGCAGACATGCATTCCCTAACCCCTCACAATAATCATTACTAATCCTAATCCCCACCCTCAAATTCATACAAATTCCTTATTGAACTGGAATTCTGAATGGAAAAATCAATTGTAGAAGTGTTGAATTTAAATCTGGGAAAGCCCCAGGAAATATTAATTATTTCTAATTCAGGTTACTAGGTGGCCTCCCTCTCTGGGAGACTGCCTTCGTGTTTCAGTCCCCTGCTCCTCTTTTCGCAGGACAACAGGCCAACAGCCAGAAATAGCAAAAAGAGAGTGGAGGGACTGTCAAGTACTTCCCGCAGGAGCTGTCATCAGGTCTGCTCTTATCAGCCGGAGGTGGTGAAATGAAGCAGAGGATGAAAACCGTACCATTAATAAGAGAGAAAAAGAGTCTGAATAGAAAGTGTTGCATCTATTAGAAGACGGAGGAGGAAAAAAACAAGGAGGGATGAACATTTATCTGGCTGTGGCATTGCGCACACACACACACACACACCATTCCCTCTCTCCTCCTCTCTCCACCTGAACTATTTTGGAATTGAGAGGAACACTGCCTGCGTCAGTGGCTGAATTTGGAAAGGAATGTGTGTGGTGTCGACTGTGTCTCAACACAGCTGAACTCACCAGCAGACTCTGATACACTGGCACCATGATCCAGCACATTCACAGGCACTGATGACCACTGACTGGTATCAACTTCTGAACACTTCAGCTTATCGGAGCTTGGGCTTTTTCTAGTTGTGTTTTACGATGTCCAGTCCAGCCAAAAAATGTTTTTTAAAACATGCCCCCACAGTATATCTAATATGTAAATCAGTGATGCTACAGATTTTCTATGTTCCACTCATTTTTATTGTTCGGTCACTGCTGTATTTCTGCCTCCCCTCACTCATCACGTTTGCCGTTATTTGGAAATTTTACTGCACTGCGTTAGCATTAGCAAGCACTGACTTAGCACTAGCAACTTGTTCGTATCAAATATCTGAACAATTTTATTCCTGAAAAACCTGAACAACAGTGTTGATTCATTTTCAAATTTTTAATTTCATGTTCCAGGCCCTTCACAGTTTTTCTAGCTTTTCGTTAAGCTCTCATATGTGAGAATTAGCATGCTAACCTGTTAAACTCCAGCAGGGCTAAAAGGTATTTACAAACATTATAGAAGAGTTCTGTGATTTTATATAGAGTCTGTTTTTTATTATTTTGTATGACATTTTATATAAAATGATATGGCAACCCAGAAAAAGTAAAGTGTTTGGACTCTCACCTCCTCCCTCCTCTCCTCTGACGGGCCCTTCAGCTCTCTGGCCTGGTCATCTTTGGGATCAAACAGGTAGATGTAGTCGGAGGAGTAGCTGACCAGAACCTCCTGACCGTCCTCACTGTAGCACAGAGACGTCACCCTGCACGACTTGTTGGACAGATGGTTGGGAACAAAACGGACACACATTCCTGCCGTCCCCCGGCCCATGTAGTTACCTGGGAAAGGAGTGTCAGAAGTTAAATCTGCTCTGGTGCCGTCACACCGCACCTTTTAGATCGACAGAGGAAGTCAAACCAGTGAAGGTGACAGTTCACCTGTGGCTCTGGTTCCCAGCATACGTCTGTCGTAGATTCTCACTGAGCTGTCTGAGCAGCCCACTGCCAAATAATATGGTACCAGTGGAGAAATGGATATGGACGTGGCCGCTCGTCGACAGTTAATCAGGATGTCCTGACGGCAAAGACAAAGCAACTTTAAAGGAGTGACGAAACGAGTGAAACTATTAATTAATGCGCTTACTAGTTTATTGGAAACATATTTAGTTTTTAGTTTTAAAGTTTATTTTTAAACTGGGTATATTTTTTAAAGGAAAGTCAACTACATTTCATTGTGATCAAAGTCTGGATCAACTGTACCAATAGTTTTAAGATCACAGGTACAGATCGCAAACACTTAAATTTGAGAAGTGGCAACAGTGAAATCTCCATGTCTGTGACACACACACAAACACAAAAGTTTGACAGAGCAACGATGTAAAAAAAACTATACACTGTACTTAGAAATCACATTTTAACCTGTCATGTAATAAACATTTTTCATTGCCACTGGATTAAGGTCAGACATAATGACAGTTATTTCAAATGATGAAAACTATTGACCATGCACTGAGCCCATCATTTATCACTGAGTCAGAGCACTGATGTCTGAGCTGTCATCGTACATCTTTACACTCCTCTTTTGTGCAGCTGGTCTTTGTGCGAAGATCAAACCACCGAACCGTGCCGTCCTCGCCGCACGACAGAAATGTGTACGGATCATTTGGTACCGTCATAATCTGAAAAGACATTTTTTAAACGACAAGGATGTTCAGACATTTAATTTCTGTGTTGCCTTCACTGACGTTTCTCTGGTCTGGGCCAGATTTACCTCATAAGCTGTTCCATAGTGACAGGTGAACTGACACTGCCTGTTGAACTCAGGACTCTTCTCTGTGTGCGTGTAGAAGATGATGCCGTCGCCGGAGCAGGAGATAATCTCCCGGTCGTTGGTGTGAGGCATGAACTTGGCGCTGAAGATGTTCGCTCGATGGCCTGAACGTATGGATTTTTTGACCTGAAGGTGAGGAAAAAAAAAACAAAAAACTCAACAAAACTGCATTCATGAATGAACCGAGTTAAGGACACAACATGTGGATGGAACAGCCAAATCTTTGTTCAATAGTCACCTTCTTGTTGTACGGGCTGCTGATAACCAGGAAGGTGTCGTCTGACCCCGACAGGATGTATTCTCCTGTGTCGTTCCAGGAGATTGTGTTGACCTGCACAGGGAGACAGATGACACCTCAGGGCTTAATGGTATATTAACGTATGATTGATGATGATTATCTGGCAAAATGGTTGTGTTACTCAGGTTAATTAATTTGTGAAGTTTAATCACAAATACATTTTAAAGCACTTTATTATCTGCACACTGCAGGAAAAGTTTTTTTTGTTTGTTTCAGGAAAGTCCTTTTAATGGGGCACATCCTGGATTGTTGCAAGGAGATATAAAGAAACAAACATTGTTTGCATGTGGCATTCACACTCACACTCACACCTGTGGTCAATTAACCCTTGTGTAATGTTCATATTGTTGTTACTCAGCCAGCGTTTGTCGGTCTGATGGACCCGTTGCATTTTGTGGCTGTTGATGCCTCACAATTAACACTTTTATGTTAAAATACTGAACAGATGTTTACCTTATCCCAATTACAAGCAGTATAAACAATATATATGGTTAATATTTGCCCTTTACCTTTGTTAGGTCACATTTATATGTTATAGGTATGTTCTGTGTACCTACACTCTGTCCTCCTCCTGTCTAGGCCTGCTGTGTGTGTGTGTGTG